AGTTTCAAGCTGACCTAGCATGGTAAATTTAGTTCACAATAGTTGGTAACAAAATCAATACTCGTGATGATGTCGGTCCAAAATTACCTTGCTTAAAATAGTTATCTTTTAACACATTTCTTACCCTGCCATACAGTCACAATGAGCTGCAAGAATTTCTCCGGATTTTTCAGCAACAAACCATACACTTGTCAGTGTTGCCCGCACTGCTTGGGAATGCCTTACTTGTGCTGATATGAGGAACCGTTCTTGTTTCTATTCTGATGTATACTTGTAAAGTTTCAGTGTTCTTACCCAGCCTGCTCCAACAAAACTGTCTGCTCCAAGGCAAGATTTGAATGCCTCAAAAATTAACAAATAGAAAAAGAAATGAAGAAATAAACAAAATGAAGCACCAGTCATGCATGCTTCAACAGAATGACAAATGAGAATTGATTCAGCATCCAACTTACTCTACTGTAAGTTGTGTAAAGCTAAAGGTGAAACCTTATCCAGAATCGTCCATCGATCATCACCCAAAACAATGGCACAAAGTAACTTTGTAGTCCTGGAGCAAAACATACAGATATAGGTCTACATGTACATGGGATGTAGGGCCTACGTCTGTGACATGCAGTCTGCATGGTTGACATGGCATGCACTATGCATGCACGATTTATGGTCACGATAGTGGTTGGCAATATTCGAAAACAAGATCATGTCATACATGCCTGAACTATGCTTGGCTAATGGGGTAATCTGGAATTTTTACTAAATTGATATCCTAAGTTTTATTATATTTTAATAAAGCCTACATAAAACACAACCCACGGTCATGACGGTCCCACCTTTGTCTCGGCTTTAGTGTAAGGACTATAGACGTGTGTATCATGTACACAGACAAATCACATTGACGAATCTTTGGAATGTCAACAGGACTGCTTTCCCAGTCCTCCTTCGCCATGCTGTACGGGTCTTTCCACAACCCACATGTTCTTATTTTGGTGATGTATCTTGATTTTGCTTCATTTTTTAACTTCAGTTTGACATACTTGGACAACTGCACAGCCGCCGTGAAAGCCATGTCGGAAGTTGTCATCGCGGAATGAGGAACGATCGTTGCATTGCATGGCATGCATGAATTCAGCCAAAACTGTCATCATGATCATGAACGTGTAGTTGATGTGAATTATTGTTAAAGCAAAATTTAGTCATTCAACAGCAATTTAATTGTTTTGTACATATTAGTTCAATTTAAAATTATTTGTGAAAAAATCCACTAACAAATCAACATGTGGGGTCACAGGCAATAAAAATTGCAAACTTTGCTCGTCATTAATTAACTGTTTGCTGAAAAGGAAACGACGACGAGTTACTGTAAAGATGGTAGCAGAGAAGTATCGATCATGTATCGGTAAAAGTGTGCACTACCTCTATATTTAGGTTTTCTATTTTCTGACGATCTCCAAGATATGAAGCCATCCAATGGTGAATCGCTCCTTTAACACTATAGAGCTTCTCCAAACAATCCAATACCATCCCATAATTAATGGTATCAAAGGCTGCGGACAAGTCAAACAGCACTAACCCGTTATATATAATTAACATCTCCCCAACGCAAAAATAC